AAGTACAGCATTCCATTAAAAGTTAATTAATTACACACACAGACTCAACTGGTTCTTTCATATATGACATTCTTCCTGCATCAAAGGTAGATAGATACTACAGGCTCATCTCATATACTCCTCACACTACTCAAACACCAACGCTGCATCATTCTGACATCAGGCTGCTTCAGGAAGCGTGAGGCGGAGGTGCTGGGAGGTTGATGATGATAAGAAGAACTGAAAACCATCCTCCTTAAAAAAAAGAAAAAAGTTTAGAGCAGTGAAGCACAAAGTAAGCAGTTCAGGTAAATTCAGATGAACTAGGTTTTAATGTTTTTATATTGTAATTACATATCAATACTTGCCCCGTGTACACTATACACACTAATATTGTAGATATTGCCCACTGTATACAACACTGCCTATTGGGGGCTTTGGGTCTTATTTACATGCTAGTTGTTATCCACAAGCAGATATTATAACCATGAAACATTGAGAAGCACGATAACGAGAGATGAGACAGTTTGGTAGAAAGTATTATTATTGTGGCAGTCAAATTAATGAACATTACTGAATGCATAGGCAATTAATTACTGCTTGCATCATCACCCTGGAAAAAGTGTTTAATTATTTTTTGATGCACTCTGTTGCACTCAGCGAGCCCTGTGGAGTGTGCTCAGGCTGACAAAATGGATGCTGGCAGGGAACCAACTAAACTGTGGTTTCACTGCCTAATGGCTATTGTACTGGCAGGGCAGATGGTATTTCTTGACAGTGGAGATGCACTGAGGTCGGCTGCAGCAGAGGTGACGCTGCTTATTTTTAAAGGTTTTTCTTTTTTTCCTAATGATCAATGTCTGTAGCTGCTGAACATAAATACAGCAAAACATATAACACTGTAGACATGGATGTTCTTTCTCAAAAAGAAGCCTGTCTAGAACACACAACAATGTAAGTATGTAAATGCAGGAACCTTTATTTGATTTTTGTTGGCCTAAAAGTAGTCAGATTTAAATGTATTGAATTCTGTACAGATAAATGTCTTAATGTAGAATTTCTCTACGACATGTGCTAAAAACACTTGCCACTTGCAGCTCCACTTATTTTAATAGTTCGCGTGTCACCAGGTGTAGTGGAGTACTACTACATATGCAAACAAGTAGTATAAAGCCTTTAGTTTCTCAGTGAAGTCTGATCAATCAATCAATCTGAAAATGAAAACACTTTGATGATTCAGTTAGCTGCATTATTACCTAGAGGGCCTTATGTTGTAGAGGTGCCACAAGTTAGAATCCAGATTTAAAGCCTTTATTATTCCAGTTTATATTGTGCTTACATGGTGCAAGTTCCTATCTACACCTGTCAGTATGGCCCACATCTTCTTTTTGCCCTGAGGCTTTATAGGGGTTAACTGAGCCCTGGGAATTATAGCTGTATAACAACATGGTGCTACTTCTGCCTTTGCTCGTGACACCAAGAGTCATAATTCACACAGCTGCAAGAGGTCCTTGTCAGCTAAACATGAAAATGTGTCATATTTAGATATCTGAAGAAACAACGGATGCAGCGGGGTGTAAAGACAACATCAGAAACAGTAACCAAATCATGATCATGTGTTTGGGTTACCGTTACCTGGAAAACAGAAGCTCTAGTCTGGTGTTATGGTTTGTTTGCTCGCAACCCAACACGGAGTCAGTCTTTTCGTCAAACAATGACGACATGATGTATCAGAGTATTGGAATACAAACTCTGATTGTGTGAGAGGAGAGGCTGTCTTGTTTTCACAGCAGGGCTCACAGATTTTCATCTCTCAAGAATCCCCTAAATCTTTCTTACAGCATGAAATATTTAAATTTTGAATGATAGTTAGTTGTTCCTTTTGGTGTCAATAGTAATATAAGACAATCCTGCTAATATTTGTACCAACATGCCACATTGTTCAAACGTTTTGATATTTTTTGAATGAGAAACAATAAACGAGATATTAGTTAGCTCAATATTAAATACATTTAATGTATGACTAAACAAGACATGATTTTTGTATCTAAATACAATGCCTTATGATGGCTATGAGTATGAACTCAACTTACTAAAATCACAATATAATTATATATAAATAAAATTAATAAAGATATGAGAAATTTAAAGGAAGAAAACATTCATTCTTCAGTGAAGGTCAAACATTCTGACAACATTACTTTATTCAGTCAGTTTAATGTCAAATGTTATATTCACTTTCATTTGAATCCACATATTCCAATATTTCTGTTGAATATGAAAACTACTGTATGTCACTATATGAATCATCTTTTATTCATTAACAAGAAACACACAGGGCACACAATTCATGTGCAGTCAGAATTATTTAAATAAAATGAATCTTTTTAAAGAAGTGTTGTACAGAACTGGTATTATTTTATTTCTCCTGAGGAAAAACAATGACAATTCTATTTTTAACAATATATCTGTTTCCAAAAAAGGAAATGCATTATGTGCTCTGCTGTTTCTTTGTTGTAACATGTCCTCTGTTCAGGCGGGTGATCACATGGATGGCTGATTTTCTTGGGTCTAAAACACACCAGAAAAGGTCAGTGTTGAGCAATTTGTTTTGTTTAGGTTTGCCATTAAAGCTTAGACTCACAAATATCATGTTCTAGTAGCCTGTTACACTACTAAATTAAATACAAGGTGACCTCATTGCATTGAGTTAACCTAGGCCTCTGAGCCCAAGGAGCCACTGACTCTCTGGTATTCTCTGCTCAGACGCCTTCATGACAAGAAGCAGGAGCTGACCACAGCACCAGCATTGGGGTTCAGGTTCAGTTTTGTCATTTTACAGCACAGGATTGCACGATCAAATGCAGTTGTAGCCCCCTCTGTGCTACACACAGAGAAAACATATACACAGATATTCAAATATGTAAATTAGAATAGAAACAATAAAATAGAACACACTATATAAAAGTAACACCAAATGAAGAAATAGAAAGGAATTAAATTTACAAGGTATATATACATTAACTTAAAAAAAGATACATGTGTGTAATAGCAGTGTAATATAAGTATTTTAAATGACATTGCAAATAGAAAGACTTGATTGTGGAGTTAAAGGATTTAAAGGGAGAATTAATAAGTAAACTGATGGGTTGTGAGAGGTTGTTTTGATGGATTATCTGCAGAGTAAAATTTCAAATGAATGTGTCAGATAATCCCATATATAGCACCTAAAACCACCTTGAATTAATGTTTAATATTTGAGCTTTAATAATTGATAATTAAATGTTTAAAATTGATGTCTAAATTAAGTCACATTACTATATATATATATATATGAAAATACCAGCTAAGGGATTTGTACAATGTGTGTGCAGTATAAAAACAGAAGTTATGATAAACATAGTTTTTATACATCTCTAAATAATACTAACATGTCCATGTCTACATTTATTGGCCCACCTGTCCAAAGAAACCTGAACCATAAACTGGGCAAGACTCAAGCTTTTGAACAGATTTTCAACTGAACAAGGCCCGTGGGTTTTGGTCCCAACACTCACATCTCTTTGCAGCAAGTATTGTTTGGACGAGAGGAACAACTAGAGATACCAATGTCCATTTCAGTAAGAGAACTGAAAAAAATGTGAACCTAATGATCATATCAATATCATCTTAATGCCTGGGGTTTGAGTCCAGCTGGGAAACTTTCTTCCATGTCATCTCTAAATGCCCTCCCCAAAAATACTTACAATTACTGATAGACAATCAAACCCAAGCTATAGACTGAAGATGGCTGTAGTTTCTCATAAATAATCTCAATAATGTTGAACAGTCTTTTTCTCACAATTGTCAGGAATTGGTATACAGAACCAAGAAGCAGACTAGAGACAGCCAGTAAGTTCAAACAGTCTATTGAACCACAGCAACTTCAGAATGGACAGAGCAGGGGCAGGGGATCCTCCGTGGGGCTGATTGGTGAGGAGAGTCGGTACAGACCGTGTCGCATCAGCGAGGCAGACGGGAGCAGGCAGATCAGAGCTGAGTTCCACCAGGCTGGGAGACCAGAGGACACAGACACAATTAAACAATGGCTAACAGGTTGCACAGGAAAGAAGAGCTGATACTGATAACAAACCGCGAACAAAGCTGGATACAAACTTGAGACCTACAGTGCTCAACATAACAATCCCATGGTGACTGAAGAGAAACACCAGGCTTATAAAGTAGTGCTTATCGACATGATGCGATTCAGGTGTGCCAAGCAGGTGTGGAAACCAGCCCCGGGAACTAACACAGATCACGCCCACTGCTACAACCTGCCAGGAAGGACAGCAGAGGCAGCAGCAAGAGAGAGAGAAAGACTGAGTGACAGCCACACACACCCAAAACAAGAAAGAAACAAAAACAGAATTATACTGACAATCCCAGCCATGTCACAGCTGCTGAGTCGTAACAACAATAGAAATTAAGGAGCTAGGCCTACAGTAGGAAAATGCCGTGGCAACAAATCAGCTCAGAAACGACAATAATAGTATTATTATTAAGTATTTTAAATAGATTCATAATGCAGTCTATAATTCTCTAATTTTTTTGGTTTCCAATTTGTACCATTACTGCATTATTAGTTCATTTCAAAGCAGGTGTAACTTTAATACTCCATATTAATAGTGCTGTAGTGAATCTCCTGGGAACCAGATGACAGCAGGGACCAATGATTATCCAGCTGACTTTAGACCAGTCACTTTAATACCTCTGCCCATAGACAATTGTGTTGATGGAAGAGTGCTTGTACCCAAAGCATGATCCTCGATTGGTCTCTGAAGCAATTAAGAGCAAATATTAAGAGTTTGGGCCCCTTGCAACAAAGGGCAAAGTGTTCTCAGTCTGCCAGGGAGGCTAATGTATTCCGGCAGGATCTCTTCTATCTTAATGACTCAGGACATGCTGTGCTTGGCCTGCACTTGCCGGGTCGCTGGTCCACCCCCTCCCTGTTTGCTCTCATCTAAGGCAACAATATTGTTTTATAGCCTCTTAGGCTGTCGGAGTGTCTCCTGGCTGCACTCAAGAGTTGGACACACCCACACTAAATACGCACTTCTTTATGCTACATGTTTATGTGGAGAGCTTTTCTATTCTGCTTCTTTCTGTTTGTTAATAAGTAGGTCTGGGGGCATTTAAAACATCTGTCATAGAAAAAAATACAGCACAAGAAACAAACAGCAAACTTCACGGAGTTCGCGCTCATTATAAAACCATTTCAGAATAAACATAAAGCTGCAATAATTAGTGCATGATGCTGACATGTGTTTGAATCAAGCGGTCAAGGTGACAGTAAGGATCCGGAGGGGAACTGGATTGGCAGAGGTGTGCAGAGTGCGGATGCCACAGTGATCCACTACACTGACGTCCCTCCGGTAGCGCAGGCGAAGTCCGCAGCCCGGTTATTTCTCAGACTTCAGTGCACCCAAACAGTCGACAGTCTCTCCTGCAGAGAGACAGAGAGAGGGAAAAAGAACTTCAGAAACGACGTGCTCGTAGTTTGACAGCATGTTCAACCTTCGGCAATCTCCGTTCAAACACACTCGCCCGACAGCTGTTTAATTGTGCTGGTGTACAGGCTATTTTTGGAAAGATTCGTTTTTTCCTCCTTCGACTGATGTAAAAACTATCAACCACTCTATACTGGAATGATGTGGGCCTCTCATGATACTGTTGGATTTGTTTTCTTAGCCGGATTTTGTGTGCAGTTCGGATTCTCCTTTGAAGGTAAGAACAGCATCTTTTCTTAACAAAGCGTGTCTGCGGGTGTCACGCATCGGGCTCGCTGCCCTGCACAGTGGGAGAAAGTGTTAAAAGTGCGCAGCCTTTCTGGGAAAGCAAAGGAGGCTGTTTGGAGGAAAACAGGAAATGTTTGAAGTGAGATGGATTGTAATAAGCCCTAAAAAAGGGAAAAGCAAGCTCACGATGAAATATGAAGAAGCTTTTTACCCCGTGGTGACGAAAAAATGCAACTGGTGATCGTTTGAAATCAAGTCGTGTGGAGGAAAGCGGGCGGCTGCTGTTCCTTGTATTTTCTATGACTGTTGACTGTTAAAAAAAAAATGCAACTTCCTCTTTTAAGAGGCTCCTGCATGAAGGGTTAGGATCAGCACCACGGACAGCTGCTGCATGCGGCTGTCCGTGGTGCTGAAAGCGACGGTCCAGATCCTGTCTGCCCTGCTTTATCGCCATTACCACTTTGAAACTGCCTCTGTGCTCTTCTTCTTCCCAAAACACTGATAAACGCGCACAAACCTATAAATCGCTGTAGTTTTTCATACAGAATTGAAATGATGGTTCAGTATGAAAGTTTACATGCACGAATATCCTCACTCTTTCTTCTGTCGTCGCCACCTCGCAGTCTCTCTTTTAGTCTGTATTCCCCATTTAGCCCTCCCTCAAACCAAACTCGTTTATTATTTCTTGTGTTTTTTCCCTTGTGCTTTCTTGTGTTTGCCTACATTCTAGAACAGTCATATATTTGTATTTAATGACGGCCACAACGGCCACGAAATGACACAAAAATGGAAATAAAATAAAAAAAATAATAAAAGAAATAAAAAAATCCCAACCTACTCGAAATCAAGTGTCTGCTGTATCCATGGCGCGACTGCGTGTTATGTAAATTCCTGATGAAGACGCGTCAGTATCTGTGACTGCCGGTGTGTGTGTGTGTGTGTGTGTGTGTGTGGCGGGGGGCGTCATCCTTCAATTAAAACAAGAACGCACCTTTATCAAGCGGTTGGTTTCAATAACACAGCTGCTGTGACCACTACCCGCCAAATCAATGACTGCAGCCACGAGCAGACCGTTTAACTCATTCATTCATGTGTGTTTCTTTGTGTGTAGAAATCACACAGCTGTCCCCATCATATCACCCCTCCTTTCTTTCATCTGCAGGTCGCTTCACGGATCTGCCCTCCAACATGACGGTTAAAGAGGGACAAAACATAGAAATGGCGTGTGCTTTCCAGAGCGGAACCGCGTCGGTGTATTTGGAGATCCAGTGGTGGTTCGTGAAAGCGCCGGAACCCACTGATAGCGAGGAGGACGTTGATGCTGAAGAGGTACAAGGGATCATTTTTTCTTCCTCATCAAGTGCGATTTATATTTTAAGCACACCCACTCATAAAGGGAATAAGGGCATCCAACAAGTAGCCGTGCTATTACACACAAGCACCTTATGTCATCAGCACCGTGTGTCGCTGTGTAGCAGCCCTGGAGACAATGCCAGGCACTCATGGCAGAACTTTTATTGACCTATTTTCTCACAAGGGACATTTTATGACCTTCAGATATATTAAGCTGCTGCCTTGAAACGATCAAGAACTTCATGCACAGTTAGTTGCTTTAAACTACTTTATGTTGAAGATTTGAATCCGCACTGATAGATTTCATCCACACAAAGGCAGACCCATTCTTATAAGGAAAACAAATATTTGGATGTGCAACTCCAATTCATATTTGATATTTTTGGCTCAAATGTCCATTCTTTCCCTCAAACATTTAAAATAATCCCTCCCCACTCTGAGCAGGCAGCAGAAAAAATAAGAACATTAATCAAGGACTACTGTGAAAAAAACAGCTCATTCAGGATATTAATTACATGATGAATGAAGTAAATGAGCCTGACTATTCATGAATGGATAAAAAGTGGCTGAATCAATACAGCCAAAGCATATTCTTGTATTATATTTCCTCATTAAACAGTGCATTGGAAGCACTTGGGCATTTTGTTATGTATTGCGGTTGCTGTGACAGCTTCCCTCGCCTCCAATAATGATCGGCCGCTTAGTGGATGAGAGCGTCTAAATGTGTTTACTGCTTTCAAATGGATGGAAAAGACTTGCTTACATATTGTATGGCAGGAAGCTGCATGTCAAGATTTGGAAGGGTTGGTGTATTGTCATGACAGACATCAAACGGTGCTCTTTCTATTTGTTTGACAAAGAGGAAGAGAGATACAGTATGTGTGTGTGACAGGGGGTGGTTGGATATCCATGTGGCTTTAATTATTCTTCCATTGTTGCTGGGGTCTCATAGCGGTGTCGGCCAGGCTTTGATGTGGGTTTGATCCCACGTGACTCTTGGATGTTGGGCTGAAGTGGCCTATTGATGCAGACGTCACATTGTTACCCACATTTCTTATCACAGAAGGCTGTTTGAGTTGAAAGCCGCTGTGTGGGGGTGTGTGTGTGTGTGTTTTTTTTCCTGCAGGGTTGCAGTTTGAATGGAAACAGAATCAAGGCTGTGTGCGAGATGCTGCTTGGTAAGCAGCCGGTCTCCTGGAAATTTAGAGGAAATGAGCACGATGCCTTAGAATGCAAATATGTATGCAAATATAAGTTGCACGCATGAAAAGTAAGAGTTGTCGGATCTTTGAAAGGATGAAATGAAAAGAGGAGCATTGAGAAAACAGACAGCAGTTTCACATTGAAATAGCGTAGAAGAAGGAAAGTAAGAGGCGGGTGGATGGATGGGTGGGTGGATACTTTATCTTCAACTCTCAGCGACCCAGGATCATTTCTCAACTTTACAAATGAATCTTCTACTGAATATTTTATGTAAATCTTTTCAGTTATATCACGAAGAGAAGCATCAAAACATTTCCTGACATCCTAAGCTATCAAATTACACCCCATTGTGTAATTTCTCACATGGGTCCATTGTTTTGTCTGTGGGATCTTGTGACCCTATATAACATAATTCTTCTTTTTTATTGAATTAGTTTTAAACAGAAGCCTGAGCCGCCGTATCTGCATTACATTTGTTGCATTGCTTCTACTTATGTAACAATGTGTATCTGTATTGTCCCTTTAAATTAAATAAATGGCTGCACTATTTTTTCAAATAGAAACATTCTAGATGTCTTGAGATCATTTTCTACACATTTCCCAAAATTTAGACATTTGGTATCTAGGAATCTATTTGGATGCAAACAGGGCACTGTTTTAGCTAATGTAACTCAAACAGGAGGAAATAGTGCATTTGTTGGGGACTATTTTCAGCTGTGGATTAATCTGCACTTGGTGCTCCAGTGACTATTTACAGCAGCAGGAGTGGGGTTGAGGATTCTCTGAATGCTCTTAACATTTTTTTTCAACATTAGCGAACAGTTTGCTACATGTAGGTTTCATACAGGATGAAGAATGTTAGAAAATAGCATGTTCAATTTGTGATGTCTTCAGAAAATCAAAGTCATATTGGAGGAGAACAATAATGTTCATGCTGCAGTGTTTGTGCTCATTTCATGAAATTCTATGGACATGAATCAACATGGATACTACATAGACTAGAGAGAGAAAGAAAAAACAAACAAACATGTCAATAGAGAAAGCTACTGTTTGGCTCCAGCTTCCACAACAAGTGGTAAATGATTCTCCTCTCAGATTATAAATGGCAGGCTGCCATAAACACAAAGAGGCAGAAACAATATTCACACCTCTATGACAAAAAGGAGTCATGCTGCTGACAGGATATCCTACACTTGTGATGTTGTTGATTCCAGTCAAAGAGTAAAGATAAGCAGCGAGAGTGATGGTGGAGCACGAGCGTGAGCTAAACATTTGCTATTACAGAACATGAGCAGATTGCTGTGGAACAAACAGGTTATCACTATACTGCACTGTTTACACTACAAACTAAGGCAGTGTTGGGCATGATTACACATGCTTATGAAGTGTTGTTTGATATTGTATTGCATGATTTTTGATTATAATCTACAAAGGCTAAAATGTAGTTTTTAAAGACACAAAGAATATGATTTTGTGAGCCACTATTTTATAGATTTGAGGATGAGATTTTGGACCCTATTTTCACGATCTAAGCGCACGGCGTGAAGCACATGGCGCAATTGATTAAGGGGCGTTTCAACTCTAATTTAGCTAGTTTAATGGCAGAAAAAATGTTCAGTGCATCAGGCTGTTGTCTCTGAGCGGTACAGACAGAGTAGTTGTGCAGAGCAAATGACCATACATGGAATACCGGCTCCGTGTAGCTCTGGGTGTCGTAGAACGGAGCCGTTGGTAGAAAAAGCTGTTCAAAAGAGAGGGTTCAGAACACGAGGAAATCTGAGGTTTTGGCTCACAGGGCTGTTTCTACCTATTTCTACCTTTGGTGTTTTTTGCAGTTGCGTATTGGTCATCATTTGTCTTCTGTTTGATTTTCTGTTAACCTGTCAGGTGAGTGTAAAACAGCAGCTTGCAATGATAAACTGAATAGTTAGTTACTAATTGTACACTGCCCAAAAAGACAAGGGAACACTTAATCATCACAGTATAACATCATGTCATTTAAACTTCAGGGATATCAAACTGTACAGCTAAATTTATGAAATTGTTTTCAATAAAGGAAGTGCTAGTGTAGTCCAGCGTACGGTTAGGTTTAGGCAACAAAAACTGTGGTTGAGATCAGGAAAAGGTTGTGATTTTAGTTAAATATTGATAAAGTAAAACCTTCCTGTCTTGTGCTTCAAGATATTGTTGATTTTCATATTATTTAACTACCAATGTTTGCCGAACCCTAACCAAGTGAGTGCCTATATATGTGTTTTAGTTCATAAATTTACCACTTTAATCTCAGAAAATATCCATGTTTTTTCTCCTAAATGTATGACTTTAATCTTGATGCTATTAACTGCCCCTCACATTCCTCAGACCTGAATCCAATTAAGAACCTCTGGGACGCTATGTATTGGTGCTTCCTAGGACGCCAAGTAGTGCCACAGACTGTCCAGGAGTTCACTGATGCCCTGATTCAGGTCAGGCGACATCAGTCGCCGTCTCATCAGGAGCATGCCCAGATGATTTTTGGAGGTACATGGGGCCCAAACATACTACTGAGTCACATTATGAGTTGCCGTGATGAAAGTCACACAGGTTGGATTTTTGGTGTGATTTTGAATCCAGCTCTCAGTTGGTTGTAGATTTTAGTTTTCATTGACCGTTACATCATTTTGTTCTCAGCGAATTAGACAGTGTACAGTAAAGATTTTGAACTTTGAACTATTACGTTCATCAAGATCTGATGTGTGATTTAAGTGTAGTTTTTTGACCAGTATAAATCACTAGATGCTGGACGTTGGACATTCAGATCAACACTGTTCAGATGATCCCCAGGCCACTGTTTATCTAACCACTACATATCAATCACATCTGTAGATACTCTTGTGATGTCACAGACAAAAGTCAGACGTGCTGTGGAGGTAATAAATAAACTAACACAAAATAAGTATACTCTGAGGCAGGGAATGTCTGCTTTGCTGCTTTGACCTCCACCATAGAATCAGAAAGCATAAAAACAGCAAAGCACAGCCTCCTGGGTAATGGTAGTAAATGAAGGCTATGTTGCACATGGTGGGCAAAGAGCCTAATTTCCATGAATTTCAATTTAAAATATATTAGTTAACTCCCCTTTTGGTTTCAAACCCTAAATCCCTCTTATTCTGAAGAGGTGGATTCGATTCTTCTCTGGGTTTGATCTCTCTTTTTTATCCAGCTAATCCCACCGCTATTTTTTGCCATAAGATCAATTCATTGAGTAAATCTTTACAACCCTGTCCACTGGTAGTTCTATTTGGTGTGGGATTATGTTTGGATGTAAGGAAAGCAGAGTTATATCTATGACGGTAACTCTTCTGATCCTTCAGCCAGCGCTCGGTGAGTTTGCAGTCGCAGATTTATATTTCTACCTAGGTTGAGAATAAATACACAAAAAGTAAAAACTGCTTAGAATCAATGCTTTTATGCTTTCTGTGAGCGGAAAAAGAATATCAGGAAAGCAACACCTTGACAGTATCAATTGTGAAGCTGGATCAAGCAAAGGCACAAAGAATCAGGAAACTCAACGCACAAGTGTGCTGCTTAAAAATACATACTGCATTTCGTTCCTCAAATACTGCCTGGAGTGCATGGATAGCTAGGCTGCTGCTGGATTCAAACCCAGACTTACCTGACCAGGGATATGTTAAAAGGTGGCGATGTGTTTCTAAAAATGAGATGCATTTAAAAAAGCGGACACGATGTGAGGCTGCCCTCGGCCGAGCCCGGCAGCGAAAATAGGGATCAGC